AAGACAAAGCTGCTTGTCTTTCGTAATACAGTAAATCAAACAATTAATTTTTTTCTGTCCTCCACAGGGGCCTCTAAGTAAGGTTTCTAGGGCTGTACAATTCGAGAGGGAGAGAAAAAAAAACTAATTGTGATTCCTCAAAAGGATGTAATAAGATATAATAATGATTTTTATTAAAACATTAAAATTAGAAACATTACTGTTTTAATATTTCACTGTAAATAAAAAAATAAGTGCTGCTGTAAAATTACAATATTTCTTAATTTCTTCACTTTCAAATATTAAAACATCAAATTTTAATTTTATTTTGAAGGAAAATAGCTTTCATTGTTTTCAAACACTTCTCATTAAAAGTGTGGGAAGATAGTTGGCAGAGGAGATACAGAGATGGAGCAGCAGTTGCTGTGAACCGAGCTGCTGAAAACAGTGTTATGAACTACGTGCGAATAAAAACGCAGTGGCTTTACTCTACAATATGCAGCACATAGATTTAATTAAATCACAGCCTTTGCAATTTGATAATCGCACTAAGCCATATCGTGATTTTGATAATATTTAGATTAATCATGCAGCCCTTTCAGAAGAATTTACTATTTACACGCTGGCAGAAACTCAGGCTTAACAAAAAGTATCCGAAATTCTAGAGGCTGTAACTCAACACAGCTTGGCTTGGATTGGTAGGCAGTGTTTTCATTGGGCTCACACACTTCAGCTTGTCCTTAAATGAGGGGGTGAAGCTTACACTGCTCTTAGTGTGGACCACAGGGCCTCCACCATTCCCAGCATTCTTTTAGTGTCTGGGACATGTCGCTGGGCAGGGGAGGGACAAGGAATAAAAAGAATAGAGAGGAGCAAAGGAATGAGAGCGAAATGGAAAGAGGAAGTGATAAAGTGAAGGAGAGTTGGCAAGATAGTGAGTGTGTGTGTTTTGCAAGGCATGTATTTTCAGGTGTGCTGACACTGAGAGGATTAGTTGGGTTCAGCTTTTAATAAATAAATATATAAACATTTAATAAAGAATCCAGTGTTGAGACAAATTCTATATCCTTGCATAATGTTACTTCCCTTCAATTTGAAAGTCGGCACGATAACTACGGA